CTGACGGAACACAAGGTGGTTCTTTTTTTTTTAAGATTTTATTTATTTATTTTTAGAGATGGAAGGGAGGGAGATAGAGAGAAAGAGAGAGAAACATCAATGTGCGGTTGCTGGGGGTTATGGCCTGCAACCCAGGCATGTACCCTGGCTGGGAATTGAACCTGCGACACTTTGGTTCGCAGCCCACGCTCAATCCACAGAGCTATGCCAGCCAGGTAGAAGGTGGTTCTATTCAGAACCGACCACCTGGAAGATGGGAGACACACCTCAAAGCCCCTCTCCCGGGAAGAGCGGGGACTCACATCTCAAAGCCCATCCCCCCTCCAATGGAGGCAGGGGTTTCTATAAGGAGGGAGAGGGGCACAGAAGAGAGATCAAGGGAAGAGCCTGCTAAGTCCTCTGTGAACAGATAAGCACGGTCCGTTCCAATGAGGCAAGTGTCGGATGCTCCGGTGTGCGTCATCCCGGGTAGCCATGCCGGCTTCTCGGCTTCCTGGCCCCGCGGCTGGAGGGCCGCAGACCTGCCGAGCTGGGAGGCCCGAAGGTCGGCGTCAGGATCTTCTGAAGTTACTTCCTAGGATTCCTCCGCAAGCCGCGTACTAGTCTGAGTCCGCACGCACAGACACAAGGTCACAGGAGCGGCGGGCCGCGTTCCGTCCCCGCCGGTGCGACGTTGCGCTGTTACAATGTGACCATCTGGTCTGCACTAAGGGGACTCGCGGCTCCAGAAAGCTGCGGCTGCAAGGAGCTGAGTGGCTTGTTGGGGAAAGTCCACCGATCCAAACGCAGACTCCCCCGCGAGGTCTCGCCGGGGAGAGCATCGCGTTCTGGGGAGAGGAGGTTGCTATGTCAGGTGGCTTTGCGAGACCCCTTCTAAGCCCGGGCCCGGCTGCGCCCGCCAATCCTGGAAGAGAATGGTACGCGCTCTGCGCAAGCGCAGTCAGACTCGGGGTCGAAAGAGCTGCCTTAAACCAGCACCCTGACCCGCCGACACCCCATAAATATTCCAGCTGTGCCCCCCCACTCCCGAAGACGCTGCAGCAATTCTGACAAGGCTGTACTCCCCTCCTCTTGGGAGCAGTGACCTTGACCTTGGGTTCAGTGAAGGACAGGACTGCGATCCTAAGAAGCCCTACCCGAAATGATCCTATAAGGCGCCGCTTTTCGTCTTAGTCTTTGAAGAGCTGCCTGTTCCTCTGTCAGGGCTGCGGGGCAGTCTCTGCGCCCACGGGCGGGCGGACTTCACGCAGCCCCGCCCCCAACAGTGAAGGACTTTTAGATTGTTTCCAATTTCATGCCTCAGTGTTTTGGTGCGGGCCTACTGGCAGGACCAGTTCCCACTAACGGAATTGTGGGATCGAAGGCATTTGTTGCTCGTAGCAACGGCCAAAAGCGGGAGACGGCCCAGCGTCCGACGGCTGGAGTGGATGGACAGACAAACGGTGGCGCAGACGCACAACGCAGCGTCGTCCTGCCGTGAAAAGGCACGGAGCGCCGCCGCGCGCCACCGCAGCGCGCGTGGACCGAGCCAGACCGAAAAGCCCCGTCTGGTCCACTTCCGTCCCTATGAAATGTCCGGAGCAGGCGCATGCGTGGGGACAGAGCGCAGACAGGTGCTTGCTCGTCGTGGGGGTGGGGGGAGGGCAGTGGGAAGGAACTGCTCAACGAGCAGTTTTCTCTGGGGCGATGGACGTGTTTTGGAGCTGGAAAGAGGTGGTGGTCCCACTGCACTGGGAATGCTGTGAAGTATTCTCTTTAAAAGGGTTAGTTTTACATTATGTGCGTTTCACCTCAGCTTTAAAAAGGGGGCAAATGCACGTTCATAGTTTCTTTTTAAGATTTTATTTATTTATTTTTTAGAGAGGGAAGGGAGGGGGAAAGAGAGAGAGAAACATCAATGTGCAGTTGCTGAGGGGTCATGGCCTGCAACCCAGGCATGTGTCCTGACTGGGAATCGAACCTGCGACACTTTGGTTCACAGCCCGCGCTCAGTCCACTGAGCTACACCAGCCAGGGCCTACGTTCATAGTTTTGTAGATTTCCTACAGGAAGGTGGCACTGATTTACTCCCCCTGCAGCCTGTGTGTCCCCACCCTTAAGTTCAGAGTCTTTACCTGTGGGTAAACAATCGGCAAGTCTGGTCTGATTTCCACTCATCTCAGTGAGAGAGGAGAACCAACTTTTCAGAGGTTTGAGAGACATTATTTGTATTTCCTTTTCTTTGGAGAGCCTGTGTCCTTTGCCCAGCCTTCTGCTTGCTGTTGGGTCTTTTTCTTATAGATTTATGAGCACTCTTTGTATATAAAGGAAATTGGGTTTTTATTTCACAATGCATTACAAGTATGTTGTTTGTAGCCAGTTACCTTCTGTTCTGGCTTTGATGGTGGGTTTTGCCACATAGAGTTTTGTTTCAAATGTGAAAGAACTTACCGATTTTTCCCCTTGTGGTTTCTGGTTTGGCAACACTCAGAAGGTCCCCTCCACTCCAGGGTTCTGCAAACTTCTCCCTTCCCTCCCCCCCCCCGTAGTTTTATAGTTCACTCATCTCTGACATTTACATCCTTGACCCACCTGGAGGAAGCGTTCTGATGATTTCTGTGGCTGACCCTGTGTTGAGAAACATCAGGCTAAAAGGAGCGGCCGGCCTGCTCTGGATGCTCGGCTCAGCCCCGGCCTCACGGAGGAGCTGGGTGCAGCTCCCACCTTCTGCCTGGGCGCCCTGCCGGCCCGGGGCTCCTTGCCCGCACCCCAGGTCTGGAGCTGGGATGGGCGGGGCTCCAGCCCCCACCTCCCAGGAGGCTCCCTTCCCTGATTAGACCCTCATCATGGAGCTGGGGGGGTGTGGACTGAGCGGACAATGGCCACCACCCCACTGGACTTCTCGCCGTGTGTACCCACACCTGAAGGAAAGGAAACTGAGGTGGCTGGGGACACTCGCAACTGTGTGACCCAGATCAAATCACTTCACCTCCTCGAACCTCAGACGCTTCATCTGTGAGATGCCTGGCAGGGCCATCCTGAGGACTAAACACATGGGCCCCACACACAGTAAGCGTGTGACACAGACTCTGATGGTGCGTTCAGACATCTATTTGTTTGTTTGTTAAGATTTTATTTATTTATTTTTAGAGAGGGAAGGGAGGGAGAAAGAGAGAGAGAGAGAGAAACATCAATGATGTGCGGTTGCTGGGAGCCGTGGCCTGCAACCCAGGCATGTGCCCTGACTGGGAATGGAACCTGTGATGCTTTGCTTCATAGCCCGCGCTCAATCCACTGAGCTATGCCAGCCAGGGCTTTCTTTTTTTTTTAATTAATTGATTTTAGAGAGAAAGAGGGAGGGGGGAGAGACATGGATTTGTTTTTCCACTTATTGATGCATTCATTTGTTGATTCCTGTGTGTGCCCTGACTGGGGATCGAACCTGCAACCCTGGTGTATCAGGACGATGTTCTAACCAACTGAGCTACCCAGCTAGACAAGCGAGACATCTGTTTACTTGGCAAATATTACTGAACACCTACCAATGCCAGGCACTGGTCTCGGTGCTGGGGACACAGCAGGGACAAAAACCTAACTCCTGGCGGAAGCCATGAACGGAAAAGCAGGTGACTCCCCCGATCAGGTAGCGACAGAAACAGGGAACTGGTGTGGCAGGTCTCAGCCAGGCAGCAGGGGAGACCTCACAGTGAAGGTCGCCGTTCATCCCGTGACGGACGTTTTTAGAGAACATGACCTGATTCCTCTCCATTCATCTGTTTTCTTGGCTGATTTCTGTGTCCAGGAGGTCAGGCTGTGGGACTGCCAAGTGCCTGTGAGGGGTGGGGGTGGGGGGGCGGGTCTGAGCTGATGGGGCCAGTGGCTGTGATTTGCTGGCCTCACCCGGGCTGCGGCAGGGCCCAGAGGTGGGGGAGAGGGGGACTCGCCTAGGAGCTGTTCCAAGGTCAAGCTGCAGGGCCACCCGAGGGTTTAGGTTCCTCTGTGAGTGTGGAGGCGGACACAGGCGCACACCACACTGGAAGATGAACTGAAACCCTCCCTCCCATTCCGTGTAGGGGACAGCAGGGGGACGAGCCCCAGGGCCAGGGCCTGCAGCAGAGGTGTGAGTCTGGGTGGAGTGGCAGGGAAGTGGGCAGGGCGCTCAAGCCAGGGCCCGCCACCCCTGAGGCCACGCTCCATCACCGGCCCTCAGCAACCTCAAACCCCAAGAGCCACCTCCTCCCCAAGGCTCCCAGCCCAAGTCCTGGGAAAGGCGCTGACTGGACCGAGGAAGGTCCTGTAGTCATCGCTGAGTCAATCGAGTGACCTGGAAGATACATCACGCTGATTGGCCAGGAGCAGCAGGCAGGAGCTGATGTCAGGCGAGGCCAGGCTGCTTGCTGGGTGAGCACCGGTTCCTTAGCGGCTGGGAAGTGCCTCGGGCTCCCCGAGCTCTGGCCCGCCTCCAACCCCTGGGCCTTTGCACATGCATTGCCCACCCACCCTGCCCTGCGGGGGTTGGGTTGTGGGGAGAGTCTGCTCGCTAGGCCAGGTCTGCACTCAAATCTCACTTCTTCTTAGAGGCTCCCCACACTCTGCGGGCTGGCTGCCTAGGAGTCAGGGGGGGCTCCCGGGGACAGGGAGGGGCCACCTCTCTGGTGCCCGCTGCACCGCAAGAAGGGCTCGGGTCTCGGGGCAAAGAATGCTGCACAAACACTTGCACGCCCATCCACACGCGGACCCCCTTCCTGGCCACAAGTGGAGGTACGTAGGCATCCCACCCGGCTTGCAAACCCACCTGGCCCGAAGAGAGCACAGATGCTCTCTCTCGCGCGCGCGCACGCAACAAGGCCCCTTCTCTATCAGCACCCCTGGTGCGTGCGCAGACGCGGGGCCGCGGCCGCCCGCTCCCCGCCAGACGCCCACGCGGAACAGGCGGCGCTTTGCGCGCACGCGCCGCCCCAAGTCCCGCCTCCTCCCGGCCGCGCCCGTGGGGGCGGGGCGCGCTGGGGGCGGGTCCTGCGACCCCGCCCGGGAAGCTGCGCGAGGCTGGGCGGCCCCCGCCACATCCTCCTGCTGCTCCGAGGCCGAGCCAGCGAGCGGGGCCAGGGCCGAGCCGAGCGCTCCGAGGGCGCGGGCGGAGCGGGGCACGGAGCCATGGCGCATCAGACGGGCATCCACGGTGAGGGCGGGCGGCGGGCGGCCAGGGGGCACAGGGTTTGCACCCGCGGCTGCTGCCCCTTCTCAGCCCTCGGCTCCTGTCTGCTCCCCGGCACCAGCCCGGGGAGGCTTCCTGTTCTGTTTTGCAGCCGCGGGTCGCCGGGGGTGGGCGCATCTGCGGGGGGAGGGGGACTTACTGTGCAGAGTTGGGGGTGGGTGTACTTGTACCTACACAGCGGGGGCGGAAGTCCCCGTGCTCTGCATGCCCTTCTAGGGAGGAGGTGCTGGTGTGTGCCCATCTATGGATTTTTGTTCCTTTCTGGGGGTGGGTGTACCCGGATGCGCACATCTGGGGAAGTGTGCACGCATGTGCACTTGTGTGTACAGTCCTGTGCGTGTGCTCACCTGGGTGCACATGCACTCTGGCCGATTGAATGGACACAGTAACATGGAAGCACCTTTGGACATCAGTGTTTCGTGAGGGTGTGCAGTCGTCCGTGGGTGTCCGAGTGTGTGCGCGTGTGCTCAGTTTGGGTGCATGTCGGTGTGCATCTGGTTCCATGGATGCTCGTACCGGCTGTGTCTGCGTGTGGCTTTATGGGTTTGTGTCTGTCCACGGAGGGGTCCTTGACCTTTGGCTCCTCCCAGGACCCTCACACACTCCTGCAAACCGGGCGGGGGAAACCTGGGACAGGGCCCTCAGAGTGGGAGAGTGGCCAGGCTGACCTTGACCTCCGGTCTGCTCCTTTGCCCTCATTTTATATCTTCTGAGTCTGCTCCAGCCGGAGTCGGAGGGCTCCAGTTCCAGGTTGGGAACACAGAAGAGGGTCTAGATCTGGGGCGTCTGGGGGAAGGTCCTGGCCCTGGAGACTCCAGGCCAGCTCCCCCCAACCCCAAGCTGCTTCTACAAACCAGAGCATCACCCCCTGCTCCAGGGGCCTCGATGTGGTCCTTAGGCTGGGAGAGAAGCGGTGGCCAGGAGCCAGGTGTCCCGCCCTGCTTGGGCCCGTGTGCCCCTCCGCTAGCCTGTGCGGAAGGTGCAGGCTGCTGGGCCAGAGAGCCTGGTGGCTTGGCCGTCGGCCACCCTTCCCACCACAGCCGGGGCCACCATCGACCCGCCTGACCGCCTGGATCTGGGCTTGTGGTTGTGGCCTCTTGGTGGCCCGGCAGCCCTGAGAGGGCTTCCCCGGCCCCGCCCCGCAGTACCAGAGAAGGCCTGAGCCCTCGCAGGGGCAGGGCCGGCCTCCCACCCCACCGGGGACCAGCCTCTGGGGGGGGGGCGGGAAGAGCGGGAGGGCCTGTCTCATGACTCAGCCCCATGGGAGGAAACAGGCCCCGCTGTCCCTTCCTTCCCCTTTGTCCGGCCATTGCTGCTGCCTCCGGCCGGGAGGGAGTTTGAGGTTAGGGTCCTCTCTGCACCCCATCGTCAAGACCCTGCCTCAGTCTCCCCTCTCCCAAAAGGTGAGGCAGGCCAGCCTCCGGCAGACCCTGGGGGCCCTGCCGCTCCTCCTGCCTGTGAGCAGCCCACTCCTCTGGCCCGGGGCGTGGGAAGAGAGACTGCCCCAACTCCCAGGTGCCAGCCCCACCCTGGCCACAGGTGTGACTGCTGACCTCACAGCAGCAGCGCAGGGGAGGGACCTGTAACCTGAGGCCCACGGGGTGGGGGGCGGGCATGAATCTTTGATGGCCCGGGCTCAGGTGTCCCAGGCCTGGCCTCTGGATTATTGATGGTGGCTGAGTCGGCCTAGGGGGTTGTCTCTTCCCCTTCTGGGGTGTCACTGCCCTGGTAACACTAGAAGGGGCACGTCAGCCTCTCCTTTGGGGGAACTGCTTGGCCTTGTCTCCCAGGAGGCCCGCGCAGGTAGGGGAGCAGGTCAGCACAGCCTGCCCTGCGGTCAGTACGGCAATAAAACTAATGTGCAGTGAGCGGAGTCCCGGGTACCCAGCCCCTGCTCCCATCTACCCCCGCCCCCAGCCCTCTGCCTCTGGGAGCAGGAGCTCCTCGTTATAGATGAGTGTGCGGCTTAGTGAGGCCGGGGCCACACAGCACTGGGGGGCAGGCGGTGCCCCCGGCCGGGTCTCCGTCAGGGACCTGCAGGGGGCGTTCTGCCTGGGCCCAGTGGGGCTGTCCCCATGCCACAGTGCCCGGAGCACCAAGCACCCGCGGGCTCAGCTGCGACCCTGCCCACCCTGCGTCGGCGGTCTCGGGCCCAGGGTTATCCTGCAGGAGGGGCACCTGAGGACAGGACCAGAGTCTGTTTCCCACAGGCCCCCCTGCCCCTGAGCTGGAGCCCTATAAATATTCTCTGACCTCAGCCCTTCCACTGTGTCCCTGCAGAATTCTCTGACCCCTGGGAACCCTCAAGGTCGTGCCGGCTGGCCCTGTGAGCCCAGAGGCCACGCTGGGCCCCCCCCACTCGGACCTCGGTTTCTCCATCTGGACCTCGGTGGCTCCGTGACTTCCCATGATCCCCTGGCTCTGACCATGATCCTCACCTCTGCACTTGGTCCTCATTCATTGGCTGGCACCTTCCAGCTCTGGCCCAAGGACCAAGACAGAGTCTGTTTGGGGGAGGTCCTAGGAGTCCTTCCTCCTCCAGGAAGCCCTCCCAGCTGTCTGGGTTCGGGAGCTTGTTGCCCCTGGCAGGGCTGTGTCCGTGCCTGCGTGTTTCTGTGTGTACTCTGTGCATCCTTTGTCGGCAGGCGTGTCTTCACTGAGCTCTGCATTTGCCTGTTCCTGTGTGTGTGTGTGGCGCACCCGTGCCGCTGGGCTGGGAGTGTGCGCGTGTCTAAGCGTGTGGGCCCGCTCATGTTGGACCTACCGGGCGTGTGTTCATGGACGAGGGCGTCTGCCTTCATGCCCATCTCTGGCACCTGCACGTGTCAGTGTGTCACGCCCACCCACGCTGGGCTGAGTGTGCACCCGCTCATCGGCACGCACAGCACGTGTGCCTGTGCCCACGTGTGTTGATGGGCACAGCGGCCCAGGCGCACCGGGGGTGTCTGTGCACGTGTCTCTGTCTGGGGTGGGTCCCAGCCCCACTCCGCGCCCGGCCGCCCCCGACTGGCCCGGCCTGTCCCAGAGCCCTCCTCCTCCTCCTCCTCCTCCTCCTCCACGGCTGGGCTGTCCCGTCCCTGCTGCCCTGTCACCAGAGCCACCCCCGCCAGCAGGCCACTCGCCTGCCACCTCTGCTGGCTAAATTTGGGAGCTTATGTTCGCTGGCGTCTCAGATTCCTGGTCACATGGGGGGCTGCATTTAACCCGGCTCCCAGCTCCGCCGCACAGAACGCAGAGTGGGCCCTGGATGTGTCCCTGCCCACCCTGCTCTTGCCTCCCCCTCACCCCACCATGTTTCTCGTCCTTGTAGCCACCGAGGAGCTGAAGGAGTTCTTTGCCAAGGCGCGGGCTGGCTCCGTCAGGCTCATCAAAGTCGTCATCGAGGACGGTGAGTGCCCCCTGCAGGCCGGGGCGACGGCTGGGCACCAGCCCTGCTGCTTCTCGTCGGTGGGGGGGACACTGGCCCCGGCCCCCGGCCCCCTCGGGCCCTCAGTTTCCCCATCTGGGGATGGGAGGGGCACTGTGGGGGAGCCCTGCAGGTGGTCTTCAACGGCAGGAAGCTGAAGCCGGGGGCATCGTGGGGAGGGCCTGGCTGGGAGTCCTGCCTGGCCCCCCCCGGGGGCTGTGCAGGGACGGGATGGGATGGGCAGGGGGGCAGGGAATGTTAAGCCAGGCACTGCCCTGTGGCTGGCAGGCCCAGACCGACTCAGCCGCTGGCCAGGGGGCGTCCTACGAAGCCGGGGCCCTGCCTTTGGGAAGTGCCCCCACAGTGGGGAGAAGGGACTCATGTCCAGACCCCTCTGAGATGAAGATGGGTGACCTCTAGGTCTGGCTGGGCCTTGGCCTCTGGGGACCTGGGGCGTCTGCAGGAGGCGGGGCCGGGCGGGGGTTCTGAGCTGAGGAGGGCCGGAGGAGCCGAGGGTTAGACTGCGCCGTGCAGGGGCAGGAGCGGCGGACCCCTGCCCCTGGAGACGGGGGGCCAGACTCTGAGACGGGGAGTGCACACCCCCCCAGTCCTTCCAGCCCTTCCTTGGAGCCATGCAGTGGGGGGCCTTTCACGGGCCCCCGAGTGGGCTTGGGGCGCATCGGCCTGACTCAAAGCAGGGGCTGCTCAGACAGGGCGTCCCTTCAGATGTCCAGCAGGGGGCGCTCTCGGTGGGCTCTGACCTGTCCCGGTTCTGTGCACGGTGGCAGGGGCAGCTGGGAGTGTCCAGGAGGGTCTGGGCTCCCTGACGGGCAGCCACGGCCCATCCCCCTAGTGAGTGCGGCCGATCTCCCGATTTTTGTAGAGAAGCTGTGAATTCCACTTCCTGTGTAAGACTCACTGGTTTGAAAAGTAGGCACCAGGGTAAACCACGCTGATGGTGCCGTTGGGGCTGACTCGGCCTGCGCCGGCTGGTTTTCCACGCTGACCCCGCCGGGGTTGGGGTGGGCAGGTGAGGGGGCCGAGCTTCCAGAGAGGCAGCTGGGCCGCGGGCCCGGCATGGCGGGGCCCCTCGCCCCCATCAGGAGGGCCTCATGCTCAGGGGCTGTCCGTGGCCGGGGGTAGCTGCCCCAGCTTTGCCTCCAGCCTGGGCCTGTGCATCTCTGGGCTGGTGTTTGGTGCCCGCTAGGGCTGAGGGGCCCCTGTTGCCCTGGGCACCAGCTGTGGGGGGGCTGGCAGGCCGGTTGGCCAGGCCTTGGAGGTGGCTATGTCTGATGTGTTACTTTTCGGGGAGCAGACGACAGCTGGTGGGCGGCAGCAGGGTCCCTGTTTGCACGGTGTCGGGTAGGAGCCCGCAGCTCCCTCTCCGCGGCACATGTCTGCTCCTGCAGGTCCCCGTGGCCCTGAGCACGGGGGTTCCCAGGAAGCTGTGTGGGAGCCCCAGGCTGCGGGGGGGTGGGGGGCAGGAGGTGGCACAGCGGGGCCGTGCATGGAGCCTCCAGCCGGTGGGCAGGTGGGCAGCCGGGTGTCGGTGAGGGGCCGTGCTGTCGGTGCCCTCCCGGGGTTGTCTGTGCCGGGTCACCGTGGGCACAGCCCCGAGGCTGTCTCCGTGCCCTTGCAGAGTGAGCGGCCTCCGGCTGCCGGTGTTTTCCCCCAGTTGTTCGTGAAGTCAGCCACTGGTTCAGCCTCACAGCCGCGCCCCTCAGGGGCTGGGGGCTCGGGGAAGGCCAGGTGGGGTGGCCAGCAGGCCTGAGCCACGGCCGGAGGCAGGAGGGCCCGTCGGGGGTGCGGATGGGCCATGGCCACTCCTGGGCTCACCCGGCCTCCGCCCCCAGAGCAGCTCGTGCTGGGGGCGGCGCGGGAGCCGGTCGGCAGCTGGGACCAGGACTATGACCGGGCTGTGCTGCCGCTGCTGGACGCCCAGCAGCCCTGCTACCTGCTCTACCGCCTGGACTCGAAGAACGCCCAGGGCTTCGAGTGGCTCTTCCTCGCCTGGTCACCTGATAATTCCCCCGTGAGTCCTGGAGCCCCCCCCCCGTCCGGTCCCAAGATCTGGGGAGAGGGCAGCTGGTCTGAGCCAGACGACTGGTCCCGCTGCAGGGCATCTGAGGGGCAAGGTCCTGGGGGGTGGCCTGCAGGGCGCCTGGCTGGCCGGCCAGGCTTTGGGAGGCGAAGGTTGGGCTGGGCGAGGGCTCCCCCTGCTGTCCAAAGCGCCCCACTGCCTCCTGGCCTCTGTACGGCGCCCTCTGGGGGTGCACAGGCACAGTGAGGGGGCCGGACCTCACCCAGAGGTTCCTGCCTGGGGGAGAGACGGCCCTGCTTGGAAGGGTCTCACAACTCGGCCCCCACTCACCAGGTGCGGCTGAAGATGCTGTACGCGGCCACCCGGGCCACGGTGAAGAAGGAGTTTGGGGGCGGCCACGTGAAAGATGAGCTCTTCGGGACCGTGAAGGTAACGGGCCCACGGAGCACAGCCTGGGGTTAGGGGTCACGGGTGAGTGAGTGGGGGGGGCGGCCCAGGGCTGCAGCCCATCCCCAGGCGCCCGCTGACGCCTCTGCACCCACCGGCCAGGACGACCTCTCCTTTGCTGGCTACCAGAAGCACCTGTCGTCCTGCGCGGCGCCCGCCCCGCTGACCTCGGCCGAGAGAGAGCTTCAGCAGATCCGTATCAACGAGGTGGGCGCCAGTCCCAGCCCGGGGCCCTCCGGGGGTGCCAGGCCTGTGCTCCCCGGGTGGGCCGAAGGGAAGGCGGCGGCGGCGGGCAGGTGAGGGCCTCACTCAGGGCTGCTCTGCCCCCAGGTGAAGACCGAGATCAGCGTGGAGAGCAAGCACCAGACCTTGCAGGGCCTCGCCTTCCCGCTGCAGCCAGCGGCCCAGCGGGCGCTGCAGCAGCTCAAGCAGAAGACCATCAACTACATCCAGCTGGTGGGTGTGCCCCCGCCCCGCCTGCCCACACGCGTGAGCAGAGGCGCACACACGCCCCCGGCCTGTCCGCTGCAGCTCCCCTGGGTACTGGTGGGAGCACCTGTCCGCCCCACCCCCGTCTCTGCCGGTTCCCATTCGGGGTGCAGCTGCCCCGTGTCATGGATGTGCCGGGTTCCCCTGCCCCGTCCCTGCTCACGTGCAGGGGTGCCTGTGGCCCACTGTCCCCCGTTCTGCCTTCCACACTGTGTATACGCGCTCACCCGTGGGATCTACTGACCCCCTGTCCCCACAGGGCCCTCTGCCCCAGCGCCCACGCTGCTCACTCTGGAGCAGAACGTCTCCCCCTTTCTAACACACATCCCCCCACAACGGTGCCTCGCATCCGCGGGCGGGCTGGCCCGGGGGCGGTGCCGCCCTGAAGCCGAGGCCCTCCCGCCGCCGTCCCACCCACAGCCCTCAGTGGGGCCCCTCCCGCAGAGCTCTGGGGCCAGCCCCTCCCTGGTCCGGCACCCTGACCTGCCCCCGTCCACGGCAGAAGCTGGACCTGGAGCGGGAGACGATCGAGCTGGTGCACACCGAGCCCACGGACATGGCCCAGCTGCCCTCCCGGGTGCCCCGAGAGGCCGCCCGCTACCACTTCTTCCTCTACAAGCACACCCATGAGGGCGACCTGCTCGAGTCTGTGGGTGAGTGGCTGCGGCAGCGCCCGGTGGGCGTGGCCGCGGCTGGGCCCGGTGGGCGGGGCCGGTGGAGGGGGCCGCCCTGCTCACCTCCGCGCCCCGCCCCCAGTGTTCATCTACTCGATGCCGGGGTACAAGTGCAGCATCCGCGAGCGCATGCTCTACTCCAGCTGCAAGAGCCGCCTCCTGGACTCCGTGGAGCAGGACTTCCAGCTGGAGATCGCCAAGAAGGTGGGCGCCTCTCCCCCTCCGCGGGCCCTGTCACCTGCCCTGGGCGTGGGGGGTGGGGGTCCCGGGACGGGCAGAGCGGGGTCACTGCTGCCTGTTGGGTGGGTGGGGAGACGGAGTCCCCAGGGCTGGCGTGCGCGTTGTCCGAGGCCGCCCCGCTGCCTGCTGGCCCAGACGAGCTCCGGCCCTGGCACCACGTCTCCTGTCCCCGGGTCCAGGGGGCAGAGGTGACCAAGGCGCCCAGGGCCTGGAAGTGGCCTTCCGGGTGGGGCTCGCCGGGCTGGGGTGTGCGAGGTCACGGGAGGGTGTCCCGGGTATGGGGGTCACCGAGGCCGCATGTGACCCTGCCCCCCCCCCCCGCACAGATTGAGATCGGGGACGGGGCGGAGCTGACGGCCGACTTCCTGTACGAGGAGGTGCACCCCAAGCAGCACGCTTTCAAGCAGGCCTTCGCCAAGCCCAAGGGCCCGGGGGGCAAGCGGGGCCACAAGCGCCTCATCCGGGGCCCTGGCGAGAACGGGGACGACAGCTAGGAGGCGGGGCCTGAGCCACGCTGGTGTGGGACTGTGGGGCCGCCCCGTCACCCCCCTCCTTCCCGGCTGGGGCGCCGGGGCAGGAGGGCTGGTGGCTGATCACTCGTGTGGCTTCCGGGGGCCACTGCGCCGGCATTGGGGACGCTCCCTGTGGCCCTGCCTGCCGCCTCTCTGTGAGCCCAGGGCGTCTGGGGACCCTGCTGGGCTGTCTCAAGGGCCTGGCATGAACCGGCCCCCAGGGAACTGAGCCCAGGGTCCCAGCACAACCCGGAAGCCTTTGGCCACAGGGGCGGGGTCAGTCTGGGCGGGGCGGGGATCACTGCAGGATGAGATGGTTGAATGCTGTATTTTTTAAAGAATAAAATATTTTTAAATCAACACCTGAGTCTGGCTCTGAGGGACCACCTCCAGCTTGGGCACTGGGAGGCCTTGTCCCTCCCCTTCTAAGAAGGTGTCTAGAGGGCAGAGCCTCAGTCAGGTCCCCTTGTGGCTTGGGGGGGCAGCCCGCCTCCGCTGTGGCCTGGGGACCTGGGCGTGTTAGTTTCCCATGGTGGCTCTAGGTTCCCCAAACTTACTGACTTTAACCAACACCAACAACCCCGGTTGGTATGGCTCAGTGGATTGAGCACCAGAATGCGAAGCAAAAGCTTGCAGGTTCGATTCCCAGTTGGGGCACGTGCCTGGGTTTCAGACCAGGTCCCCAGTAGGGGGCGCACAAGAGGCAACAAACACACTGATGGCTTTTCCCTTCTCTTTCTCCCTCCCTTCCTGTCACTTAAAAACACACACACAACAACAACGTCTTTTCTCAACGTCTTTTCTGATAAGTCTGGAACGAGCTTCCCAGAGCTAGAACCTCGGCATTGGTGAAGCTGGTTTTTTCTGCTGGCCTCGGGAGAATCCATTTCCTTCCCTTTTCCAGCAGCAAACCCCCCGCCCCCCCCCGTCTGCAAAGCAGGAGGCTCTTCCCTCTCAAACCCTGTACCCACCGGCACAGTCCCTCCTGTTGTGTGCACAGCTCTGGCGGGGGGACGGGGTCCCCCTGGGGGCCTCTTGGGCCTGCCACCCTGCGGTGGCCCTGCGCGCCAGGCTTCTCAGCCTCCGTGAGGCTGAGGCGCCGTGGGTGTGTGTGGACACCTGGACTGGGTGTCCAGTCTGTGTGTGTGTGCCGACATCCTTCTCGGGACCCTGCGTTCTCGCCCCGAGGCAGACAGGGTGGCTGCTGGGGGCGGGGGAGGGGCAGAGGGCCTGGGGCTTTGGTCCCAGGGGCTCTGGGAGAGTCTCCTTGGGGCTTGGGACTCGGCAGGGGGTGTGCCTGGGAGAGGGTGTGCCAGGTCGATGCCTGGGGTTCGGCTGCTGACCGGGCACTATCCTTTCTCCTGCAAGCACGTCCTGGGCTGGGGCTCAGGTCCCCGTTCCAGCCCGGGGGCCTTTCTCAGGCCCTGCCGAAGACCCTGGAGGCGTAGGGCGGAGAGCCAGACCCAGAGAAGGGGGCCCCCAACACTGGTCCCCAGGTAGGCAGAGGACCCTGCCACCCTGCCATGCTGCCTCGCCATTCGACCCCCCGGGCCCGGGAGCCTGCTGCACTCCCGGCAGCTTGGAGCGGTGACGCCCGCCCAGTCGCCCAGCCCCCACCCCCCCCGAAGCTCTCTCTGTTCGTTCACTCATCACTGCTCAGGGACGCGCCCCCCCCGCCAGGAGCTGAGTGCCGCAGAGCCTCGGGTTCGACCCGTGCTGAGCGCCACCAGGGTGCTGGGCGCTGTGCTGGGCGCTGGGGTACAGGCAGGAAAGATCTGGCCCTCAGGAGGCCGGCTCTCCGGCAGGACACGGAGACAGTCCATGACAGACCAGGGAAATGCAAGGATGCGGCGTGTCAGTAGGCGAAAACCGTCAGTCGCACAGAGAAGCAGCCGGAAGAGGGCCTCAGGGGAGTGCAAGGAGGGCGGGTTGTGCACGGGTCAGGGAAGCCCACGTGGCGAGGGCGCCGTGTGAGCAGAGACGTCAAGGAGTGAGAGAAGAGCTCCAAATGGACGTGCAAAGGCCCCAGGGCAGGAGGGGCAGCTGTGCAGGCGCTGTGCCAGGAGGCCAGCGTGGCTGCAGACTGCTGAGGCCGGCATTGGAGGACACGTCCTAGGGGGCCCTGTGGCTTAGAGTCCAGAGAGGGCCACGGAGGGGTCTGCGCAGAGGAGGGGCCTCATGTGACTGAGGGGCCACATGGGAGCGGGCCATGGGCGAGAGCACAGACGCAGGCCAGCCTCGAGGCCGTGGCAACGGCATTGGTCTGGGCCAGGGACAAGGGGGCTCAGCCCGCCAGGCTGCTGGACGTGAGGACGGACGGAGGGCGACGGGCAGCCGCCGGGCAGGTCTGGACGTGGAGCCAACGGGACTCGCTGAGGAGCTTGGCCCCGGCCCGCCCCCCGCCCCCCAGGGTTGGAGCCTGAGGAGCAGGGAAGAGCCCGGGGTGGGGATGAGCCGGGACACCCCGGCCAGCCCGGCCCGGCCCAGGGTCTGCACTCCAGCCACACCAGGTCGTTGGAGACGCAGAGGGGAGGCCCTGCCCCGTGGGGAGTGGCGTGGGGAGTGGCAGGCTGTGGCGGAGGCAGGTGCCGCTGGAGTTGACCAGTGCTACCTGTCCCTGGCCGCGCAGGCCTCAGAGAGCTCTGGGGGTGGCTGCCAGGCCAGGAAAGAGCAGGTGCCGGACGGGGCTGCTGGCCGGAGTGCCCTGCCCGTGGGGCAGGAGCCGAGGACCCCGGGAGCTAGAGTGGAAGGAAGGGCCCTGGCGCAGGTGCGGGCAGCCCCGCCAAGGCCCGGCAGGGTCCCTGACCCCGATGTCTCGTGAGCTCACACTGGGCTCTGGGCCTCTGTGTCTTCGAATTCCTGGGGGGCAGGTGCGAGGCCCAGCAGGGACGTGTGGCCCGACTGGGACAGGCCCCGGGACAGCTGGGCCGGGGGTGGGAGGCAGAGGGGTAGTGAAACAGGAAGGGGCCAGGGGCCCTCCGTCTGCCATCTGACTATGCAAATGACCTCTGACTCATCGCGAAGCCCCTCCCCCAGCCCTGGCAGGGAGGGGGCTACTGGGTTGTGAAATTCTCACTTCCTCTGTTCTGTGAGCCCTCACCGCGGGAAGGGACCTCGCAGGCACAAGCAGGACCCTCTGGAGGAGCCCCCACCTCTTATCATGGTAGGACAGCCGCCCTCAGCCCCCCGGGGGAGGGGACAGCCCAGGGGGCGTTGGGGAAAAAGGCAGGCTTGGTGGCCGCAGACAATAGTGGAAAGGGCGGTCACCCACGTGGCTCTGGGGACACAACACCCCCCCAAACCCTGAAGACATCAGGCAGAAGCCCTTCTCCGGGCGGGAGGCCCAACCCATTGCACGGATGAGGAGGCTGAGGCCCGGGCTCCTCTAGGTGGGTGGCCCAGGGCCAAGGCGAGGCCGGGCTCCCAAGCCTGGGTTCAGTCTGTCCCTCTGCTGCCCATCCCACCCTCCGGCCCGTTGGGACTCACAGCAGGTCCAGCGCTCCTGGGCAGCACCTGCCCTGACCGGCGCCCTGGGTGGCCCCCGCCTGGACCCCAGCGGGAGACCCTCGCTCCTGCCTGGGTCTTGGCCAGAGGGAGGGGGAGGCACTGGGGAGTGGTGGGTGGTGAGGGATGGCCAAGGAGGGGAAGGGGGACGTAGAGGGGAGCCCAGGGAACCACGGGCCCCCTGCCCAGCTCTCTGGTCCGGCTGGGGCTCGGCTCTGAGGGAGAAAGCTCTGGATCGCGAGTCCGGCTCCCAGGTCTCCAAAGCAGTTGCAGTCGAAGGCTGGGTCTGAGACCCACGCCCAGGTTCCCACGGCGGGGAGGTGGGGCGAGGGCTGGGCAGAGACAGGAACACACCCCCCGTCCACCCCACCGAGGGAGGGTGGGGGAGGAGCTAGGGGGTGGAGCCGGGGCTGCCACTCACGCCCCCTCCCCGCAGGGCCCCTGTCCCGGCGCCCTGCTCCTCCTGCTCCTCCTGGGCCAGGCCACGGCTGCACTGGCTCCGGGCTCCCTGCCCGCCTTCCTGCCCTGTGAGCTGGAGGCCCCCCACAAGGTCAACTGCGCGTGGCTGTTCCTGACGGCTGTGCCCCGCTTCTCGGCGACCGACCCCCAAGGCAACGTGACCGACCTCTCCTTGCGCTGCAACCGCATCCGCCACCTCCACAACCGGGACTTCGCCTCCCTGTCCGGCCTGAAGCGGCTGGACCTCAAGTGGAACTGCCCGCCCAGCAGCCTCAGCACCATGCACTGGGCCTGCCACATGACCATCGAGCCCCACACCTTCCTGTCCGTGCCCACCCTGGAGGACCTGAACCTGAGCTACAACAACATCACGGCCGTGCCCGCCCTGCCCCGCTCCCTCAGGAACCTGTCCCTGAGCCACACCAACATCCTGGCGATCGACCCCTCCAGCTTCGGGCGCCTGCACGCCCTGAGACACCTGTACATGGACGGCAACTGCTACTACAAGAACCCCTGCGGCCAGGCCGTGCAGCTGGCCCCGGGCGCCCTCCTGGGCCTGCGCAACCTCGTCCACCTGTCGCTCAAGTACAACAACCTCACGGCGGTGCCCCACCGCCTGCCCCCCAGCCTGCACACCCTGCTGCTCTCCTACAACCGCATCACCTCCCTGGCGCCCAAGGACCTGGCCAACCTCACCGCGCTGCGCGTGCTGGACGTGGGCGGAAACTGCCGCCGGTGCGACCACGCCCCCAACCCCTGCGTGGAGTGCCCCTACAGGTCCCTCAAGCTGCACCCCAACACGTTCAGCCACCTGAGACACCTGCAGGGCCTGGTGCTGAGTGACAGTTCTCTCTACACCCTGGACGCCAGGTGGTTCAGCCGCCTGAAGAACCTCTCCGTGCTGGACCTGAGTGAGAACTTCCTGTACAATTGCATCTCCAAAACCACGGTCTTCCGGAACCTGACGACGCTGCGCAAACTCAACCTGGCCTTCAATTACCGTAAGGGGATATCCTACGCCCACCTGTGGCTGGCGGAATCCTTCCGCAGCCTGACCGCCTTGCAGCAGCTGGACATGACCGGCATCTTCTTCCGCTCGCTCGACAATGGCACGCTCTGGCCGCTGACCCGCCTGCCCGCACTACAGAACCTGAATTTGCAGATGAATTTCATCAACAAGGCCAACCTCAGCCTCTTCCAGGAGTTCCCACACCTACGCCAGGTGGACCTGTCCGACAACCGCATCAGCGGGATGACGGGGTCGGCTGGGTCTGCGGGGTGGGCGGGGTCCGCGAGGTGGGGGGGGTCCGTGAGGTGGGCGGGGTCCACGGGGTCCGTGGCCTCCGCGGCGAGGGCCCGTGCCGAGGAGGAAGTCTGGCCGTTGCCCAGGAACCTCTCTCCAGGCCCCCAGGACTCCCGCGGCTCTGAGGACTTCATGCCCAGCTGCAAGACCTTCAACTTCACCTTGGATCTGTCCCGGAACAACCTGGTGACCGTGCGCTCTGAGATGTTTGCCGGGCTGTCGCACCTGCAGTGCCTGCGCCTGAGTCGCAACAGCATCTCACAGGCGGTCAACGGCTCCCAGTTCGCGCCGCTGACCAGCCTGCGGGTGCTGGACCTGTCCCACAACAACCTGGACCTCTACCACGGGAACTCGTTCACGGAGCTGCCCCAGCTGGAGGCCCTGGACCTCAGCGACAACAGCGAGTCCTTCCGCATGCAGGGCGTGGGCCACAACCTCAGCTTCGTGGCCCGGCTGCCCAACCTGCGCTACCTGAGCCTGGCGCAGAACGCCATCTGCAGCCGCGTGTCCCCGCAGCTGAGCAGCGCCTCGCTGGTGGCCCTGGACTTCAGCGGCAACTCCCTGAACCTCATGTGGAAGGAGGGAGACCTCTACCTCCACTTCTTCCGGGAGCTGAGAGGGCTGCTGCGCCTGGACCTGTCCCAGAACCACCTGCACGCCTTCCTGCCGCACACCGTGGGCAGCCTCCCCAAGAGCCTGCAGCTGCTGCGTCTCCGCGACAACTACCTGGCCTACTTCAACTGGAGCAGCCTGACCCTGCTGCCCAACCTGGAAGTGCTGGACCTGGCGGGGAACCAGCTGAAGGGCCTGACCAACGGCAGCCTCCCTGCCGGCACCGAGCTCCGGAAGCTGGACGTCAGCCGCAACAAGATCAACTTCGTGGACCTCGGCTTCTTCGCCCCCGCCACAAGGCTGCAGGTGCTCAACCTGAGCGCCAACGCCCTCAAGACCGTGGAGCCCACCTGGTTCGGCGCCCGCGCGGCCACCCTGAGGGTGCTGGACGTGCGGAGCAACCCCCTGCACTGCGCCTGCGGGGCGACCTTCGTGGACTTCCTGCTGCAGGTGCAGGCGGCTGTGCCCGGGCTGTCCAACCAGGTCGCCTGCGGCAGCCCCACGCAGCTGCGGGGCCGCAGCATCTTCGAGCAGGACCTGCGCCTGTGTCTGGACGAGGCTCTGTCCTGGGTCTGCTTCAGCGCCACCCTGCTGCTCGTGCTCCTGGTGCTGGCCCTGGCCCTGCTGAAGCACCTGTGCGGCTGGGACCTCTGGTACTGCTTCTACCTGGGCCTGGCCTGGCTGCCCCGGTGGGGGCGCCGGCCGGGCGCGGCCGCCCTGGACTACGACGCCTTCGTGGTCTTCAACAAGGCGGACGGCGCCGTGGCCGACTGGGTGTACAACGAGCTGCGGGTGCAGCTGGAGGAGCGCCGCGGGCGCCAGGCGCTGCACCTGTGTCTGGAGGAGCGGGACTGGCTCCCGGGCAAGACGCTCTTCGAGAACCTGTGGGCCTCGGTCTACAGCAGCCGCAAGACGCTGTTCGTGCTGGACCGCACGGACCGGGTCAGCGGCCTCCTGCGCGCCAGCTTCCTGCTGGCCCAGCAGCGCCTGCTGGAGGACCAGAAGGACGTGGTGGTGCTGGTCATCCTGAACCCCAACGCCCGCAGCTCCCGCTACGTGCGGCTCCGCCAGCGCCTCTGCCGCCAGAGCGTCCTCCTCTGGCCCCACCAGCCCAGCGGCCAGGGCATGTTCTGGGCCCAGCTGGGCACGGCCCTGACCAGGGACAACCACCACTTCTACAACCGGAACTTCTGCCGGGGACCCACGACGGCCTAGTGCCATGGGGGCAGGGGGGAAGCCAGCACACCCCAGCCCCGCCCACCGTGCCCTCTGCCTGGGATACCCCAGCCTGCCTTGCTCTGCAGAGGGGCTGCTGGGGGGGGCCCTCACCCCCACCCCCGGCATACAGCAGGCACTCAATAAATGCTACTGGCAGGCCCCACGGCTACTCCTGGGCTCAGGAGGCGCGTGTGGGAGGAAAGAAGGGAGAATTCTCCAGGTTTCCTACATGAGGCGGGACTAGAGGCCATGTGGGGTCTGCAGGGGAGGGAAGCCGCCCAGGGCAGCTGCGTCCAGGGGGGCGGCTGCGGAAGGTCTCTGAGCCTGCCCCCACCCCGCACACCCGGCCCTGTGTCCCCAACCGTGCCAGGCTGCCCGCTGTTGCATGCTGGTCTCAGGCTCTTCCTCCTCCTCCTCCTGCTAGGGTGACAGTGCCTTCAAGGTTGAGGGCCTGTGTGTCTGCTTCCTTCGTGGGCCCCAGTGAAGCCCCGGCCCCAGTGGGTGGGGAGGCTTTGCAGCAGGTTCAGTGGGGTGACTGCGCCCTCTGGTGGCCACACCTGTGCGGTGTGCATGGGCAACCCTGGGGCCCGGGAGAGGAAGACTGGCCAGGATACCCCCGCAGCAGGGACCAGGGAGCCCCGGAACGTTCCAGCATGAGCTCAAAATCCGCCCCTTTCTGCTTCACCTAGAGTACCTGCGGGGTCTCTGCTCTGACATCAAAGGGACACCCAGGTGATCCTCCACGGGTGGCAAAGCTGGGGCACCCCTCCCCTGCCCCTGCCTCTCACCACTGACTGCTCTCAGGAGACCCAGCCCCACGGGATCGGGGGACTATGTGTGTGCTAGATTTGGGGACACCAGTGGGAGCCCCGATGACTCGAGTCTGACAACAGCCTGTCCAGGTCTGCACTCCACAAGTCTGGGAAGCCATGGGCGGGTCCGACTTGGGCCAGCCACGCCACCACCCCCGCAGCTAAAGCTGCCCGGTGAGGGGCAGAGACACTGCGCCCCAGCCTGGGCTGGTCAGGGCCACGGGGTGGGGGGGGGGTGCTGCAGACTTGCTAATTTTGCAGCCTGACTGTGGGCAGCCCTGTGGGGGGCGGGGTGCGCTCTGCCCTCACAGCTGGGAGAGGAGCGCGGCCACCTTCCTCTTTCTGACTTGGCACAGGGGCTCCTGCGGTGGGCTGGCGTCCCTGGTTATCTGCTCGCCTGAAGGAAGGCAGAAGGAGGGTCTCTGGCCCACCGGCCCGAAGCCCCACGTGGGCCCTGCCCTGTCCCGACAGGGCCCAGCCGGCGCCTGGAGGAGCAGACAGAAGGCTTGGTGTGGCCGGAACTGCCCTCCAGGCCGCAGTCTGGGGGAGGCCCCCCCGCCGAGCGTCTGGGAGTTTCAGGACGTCCAGGATCCGGAGGGGGAAGCAGGGCCCTGCGTCGTGGGACACACCATTTGCCTGCGCCCCAGCACAGCTGAGGCTGCCCTCCCATGCCCCACCCCTGCTCACGAGCACAGGCCTGGCTCTCTGGGGGGGGGGCGGCGGCGGGGGATTCATTTTGGAGATAAAGATGGGGCCGTGGCAGGAGGACTGCGGGCTCTTGTCTGCTGCTTAAGAAGGGTCAGAGCTCCCCTCCCCCGGTCCTACAGGAGGCGGGGGCCTGGGTGGGGGTGGGGCAGGGGGCTGGGCTGGGGGCTGGAGGTACCGGAGCAGGAAGGGTGCCCACAGTGGGCCCCGGGCCCTCTCCCCTACGCTGCCGGACACGCTCAGCCATGACCATTGCAGGACGGAAAGAGACGGGACTCAGACGACCCCCGCTAATTACCAGCTCTGCCACTTGGCTTCGCTGGGGCAGGCGAAGCCCCCCTTGGGGACTTGGTTTGCTCCTCTGGACGCGGGGCTGGCCGCTGCTGTTAGAGGGCCCCCAGGGTGACGCATGTGAAAGTCTGACGAGTGCAGCAGGTGCTCCGTGGCTGTCACTTGTTAGGTAAGGGGCTTGCGCCGAGGCCGGCCAGCTGGTGCGGCTTCCCTAGCGTTCCTCCCTCCCGGGCCAGGCGCCCCGCCCAGAGCACCGGGACTGGGGCCAAAGAAGGGTGTGGCGCCCCAAGGCGCATAAAGAGGGAAGAGCGCCAGGCACCCGCGGACGCTGGTGTCGCCTCGGAGTTTTTGGTACTGGGGAGCAGCAAGCACTCGACACCCCGGGGTGTGGGTGCGAGGCCCAGGGAACCCTGAGAGGAGACGCGAGGACTGGAGGTGACACACGTCCCCCTCAGGACACCTCGTGTGACGCGCTCCGCTTCTGAACGTGCTTGGAAAACTTCCGCAGCATCACACCTTGTCACGCAGGAGTTCTTGTTATTGTTTTACTTTATTTTTAAAAAGATTTTATTTATTCTTAGAAAGAAAGAAAGAAAGGGAGAGAGGGAGAGAAACATCAACGTGTGGTTGCCTCTCACGCGCCCCCACCTGGGAACCTGGCCCGCAACCCGGGCCTGTGCCCCGACTGGGAATCGAACCAGCAACCCTTTGGCTCGCAGGCTGGCGCTCAATCCACTGAGCCACCCCGGCCAGGACAGGAGTTCTTTTTAGCAGCTGAGCCGTTCACAAATGCCACCACTTCCTACAGGCCCTCCCTCCTGCTCTGGAACCCGCAGGGGCAGTGGGGAGAAATGTCCTGCTGCTAACCCTGGGCCCCCGCTGGCTCGGACTCTTGGGGGACGGGAGCTGGGTCTCGCTGAGCCCCGGAGAAGCGTCCGGGCCAGAGGACGAAGCCAGCGGGAAGGGGAAGAGCCGCCGAGGGGCCGCAGGCCCAGGGCCGTGGGGAAGCACCCCCAGATCGCCCTCCGGGAGGAAGCAGCGGGGGGGAGCGGCCTGAGGCTGGTTTCCGGAGCAGAAAGAAGCGTGGGTGGCTCTCATCCCGCGTGGCCTGCGTGGACCTGTGGCTTGTTGTGATGGGAGCAGGTGCCCACCGAGCTCTGTCCGGGGCAGGGCGGACTCGGGCAGGGGCACGGCACAGCGGCCCTTTCTGGAGCCGAGCGTGGGCGGCAGCCGAGGGCTCTCTCTCTGTCCGCCGGCGGCTGGGTTTCTCTCCAGCTCGCCTGCTCCTTCTGGCGAGGGAGGCCACGCCGCCGCCACCGGTCCGTCCCGGGCTGTGCGCCCCCGGGTGCGTCTGTTGGAGCTCTGCCCCCGACGTGACGGTGTGGGGACCTTAGGAACGCACAGTAGATTTGGATCAGGCCGGGGGGCGGGGCTTTAACTGGCAGCCTCACGAGAAGAGGAAGACCGAGGTTGGAGGAAAGGCCACGTGAATTCACTCTGCGGCCCGTGGGCCAGGAAGGGCCCTCGCTGGGCGTCCTGCTGGCGGGCCCCAGGGCCCCAGGGCCCCCAGCCTGCAGAACTGTGAGCAGTGGGTGTCCGTCGTGGGGTCTCTGGGGTCCGTGCCGGCCGCCGGGGCTGGAGAAGCGAGGAGGAAGGGGCAGGCGGCCGGCAGGGAAAAGTCACCGTGGCGGTGACCGGGCTTTGCAGGGAGGGCGCCGTGGACAGTGTGGGGGGGCGGATGCTGGTGAGAGCCCAGGGGGGCTGCCCCGGCCCGGGGTCTCGGGCACGGTCTCCGCAGGGCCTCTCGTCCTGGACCAGGGGCGGCGGCCCAGGGTGGGAAAGCCAGGCAGAGGGACAGCGGCCACCTCCGAGGCCTGGGGGCCAGGACCCTCCTGGGGTCTTCGAGGTTTGGGGGTGCGCACCAGCACAGGAAGTGGAGAGAGGAATGAAGGTGGGGTGGCAAGCCCGGCGAACGCCGTCAGCTGTGGGAGGGATCTGGCATTGAACCTGAGCGCGACGGGAGAACCCAGGACCGGTGCCTGCAGGGGAGGAGGTGCCGTGACTCATGTTTTTAAAAGCTCCCGGCCCTGGCTGGTGAGGCTCAGGGGACTGAGCGCCGGCCTGTGAACCCAAGGGTGGCCCGTTCCATCCCCAGTCAGGGCACACGCCTGGGTTGCGGGCCAGGTGCCCACTAGGGGGCGTGCAAGAGGCAGCCACACATCGATGTTTCTCTCCCTTCCTTCCCCTCTAGAAATAAATAAAATCTTTGAAAAAAAAGAAAAGAAAAAAGAAAAGAAAAAAGCTCCCAGGTGCCATGCAGGGCTGAGGCCGGGGCAGCTGCTGGCACGAAGGCGGGATGAGCGGATGGATGGTCGCCGTGCAGGAGACGGGAAGGGGCCTGGCTCCTCCGTGTCCTCCGGGTGGAACTTTCCGGACGGCCGGCAGGCCTGCGTGAGGGCCGGCAGCTGGCCCCCATCGAGAGGCCCGAGCGACGGGCGGGTGGTGGTAAGACAGGGGCGGGCCCGCTGCACCTGCGTGGCCCGGGAGGTGTTGGCCGACAGCGTGTGCAGCTAGACTGCAGGCCGGGCTGGGCGGGACGGGGGAGCGGGGGAAGGGTCCTTCCGAGGCAGCAGGGAGCGCCTGCAGAGGATGGGGGCGGGCGGCCGGCAGCACTGGCCGCAGGCAGTGCGTCCGAGTTTCCACGGGGGCCGGGGACCAGCGGAGGGGGGCAGAGCGGCAGCTGGGAGGGGACTGAGGGAGAGCTCTTCTTTCTAGAGGTATTGGTGTGAACAGTGGTAACGTTGTATAAATGTCTGGTGTACCTAAAACTGTGTAACACGCCCCATGTTGTGCTCGGCACCTGAGGTCTGGGCCCCTCCTGTCACCCCGTGTTTGACCCCTCGCCTGCACCCTCTTCATCCGCCCCTCCCCACTGCCCTCCGGTAACCACACTGCCGTCCGGTTTCTGTCACTTCGCCCCGCGCGTGAGCGAGGTCACACAGTCCGCTTCTCTGCCCTCACCGACGCCGGTGCTCTCAAGATCCACCTTGTCGCAAGCGGCCGCCTGTCCTCTTCCGTGGCCGAGGAACACTCCACTGCACACACGTGCCCCTTCCCCACCCACTCACGCGCCGAGGGACACCAGGGGTCCTGCTGCAGGCCGGCGAGGCCGAGCAGGACGCGGAGGCACCCGTGACGGAGAAAGGGCAGGCGGCAGGAGTGTGCAAGCGGCGACGGGCCGGGACTGGGGGGAAGGAGTCAGCTGAGGAGCACACGCGGCCCCCCCGCTGCCCCGCTGTCCTGTGAGGACGCGGTGGCCGTGGCGGGGCGGGCGCAGGTGG